GTCCACTCACAGGATGAGTGACGCTGCCCAATACTGTCTCTATGGCGGTGTGTCCACTCACAGGATGAGTGGCGCTGCCCAATACTGTCACTATGGCGGTGTGTCCACTCACAGGATGAGTGACGCTGCCCAATACTGTCACTATGGCGGTGTGTCCACTCACAGGATGAGTGGCGCTGCCCAATACTGTCACTATGGCGGTGTGTCCACTCACAGGATGAGTGGCGCTGCCCAATAAACTCGCTCCTCGGGGCAAGACTAGAAGGTTGAATATGGCGTGCCCCGGGGGGGGGGGGGGGGGGGCTCTTCACCATACACAAGCATTATTTACACAAACGATTCAACAGGAATATTTCCAAATTTGACAGCTCAAAAATAGGGCGAAGAAATATTGAACTCATAAACTTAGAAAATAAGAAGTTACCACATATGAGCTCGTCTGTATTGAAATTATAGAATAAATAAAATAGATACTGGGATTTATTTCATGAATTGTGTTAGAAAGCCACGTAATAATAATATTTAGCTTTATCTTACCGTTGTTAGGCCCAAGACAGGTTATGCAGGTCAGCTTTGGTCTCCGCACTGTAGAACGAAATGTGTTATATTGCCTATGTGTATGTTCTCTGTACTCCCTCTGTATACTCTTGTATACTTTCTCTTCCAATTCCATTTCTTCAGACTCGTATGATAGCTTCAACGTTTGCTCTGTTTCTTTGATCTCCTTGTTTAGGTTTATTTTCCTTTCTTGTGATAGTCGTGTCTGCTTTTCCGTTATTTTTTCCCCTCTGGTCCGTTGTCTGCGTTCTCTTTCTAGAGTGGTCCTCTTTCTGCCCCTCCTCACAGGCACATGCTTCAAGCAGACCTTGTAAGCTTCAGCTCTCAGTTGAGCTATTCCCTGTGTGGGAGTTTTGTCGCTTAAGACCGTCTCCCATTGAATGGTTGCAAGATCTACATTTATTTTTTCCCAGTCGATCATGTTATTGTTAAAATTTGATTGATTGAAAACCCCTTCTCACTTGTTGGTTCTCTTGAGCCTACCATCGTTATTAATGTTAGTTCGCACTTCAATGAGCTTATGGAATGAGTATGAAGTATCTGAGATTGTGATGTCTCTGATTAGTTCATCATTGTTTGTGAATAACAAGTCTAGTGTGTTTTCGTTCCTAGTTGGTTCTGTAATCTTTAGAATCTCAACAGTTCTCTTACCTGTTGGTTATTTCCCGGGTCATTCCCTGCTATGATATTTGTGTTTGCCGTTCTCCATCTTAGACTCGGTAAATTGAAGTCTCCAAGGAAGATAATATCTGGAGCTGGGTTTGCGAATTATCAAGGATGTTCTCTATTTTGTGCATCTGCTCTGTGAATTCCTCAACCGTTGTATCTGGCGGTTTATATATTTGAATAATAATTAGGTATTAGTATTCTTATTTTTTGCCTAATTATTCTAATTAGGTATCGTTATTTTTTCTACCTGAATTCCAAGTACCTCTACCAGCGCATTTGTTGAGTTTAGTAGCTCTCTGCATACCAGGTACTCTTTAATATACAGACCTACTCCTCCATGTGACCGAATTTCTCTATCACATCTTTATAAATTAGTTTTTTTATATAGATTCTGGAGCACAATAGGCTCCAGAATCTGTACGCCAGTTGACTGACAGTCGAGAGGCGGGACCAAAGAGCCAAATCTCAACCCCCCGCAAGCACAACTAGGTTAATACACACACACCCCACCCCCACCTAAAAGCCCCATCCTCATGCACTCATCCAAGCCCATTCACCCAATCAGATGTAGATGAAAATATCCAATCAGATGTAAATCAGGTCTTTCTATGGGTTACAGAAAATAATATGGTGTTTAACAAAGATACGTTCCAGCTCCTACGCTACGGAATAAATGAAAATATGAAAACTGAAAACCAGGTACAAAACTCAGTCAAATCATACCATAGAACGACAAGGCAATGTAAAGGATCTGGGTGTACTCATGTCGGAAGACCTTATCTTTAAAGAACACAATAAAGTAGCCGTCACAACTGCAAGAAAAATGACAGGTTGGATAATAAGAACCTTTCATACTAGAGATGCTATACCAGTGATGATACTCTTCAAAACGCTTGTGCTCTCTAGAGAGGAGTACTGCTGCACAATGACAGCCTCTTTCAAAGCTGGAGAAATTGCTGACCTGGAGAGCGTGCAGAGATCCTTTACTGCTAGAATCCACTCAGTAAAACATCTAAATTACTGGGACCGAGTAAAGAGCCTAAATCTGTACTCCCTTGAGCGCAGGCGGGAGAGATACATAATAATTTACACGTGGAAAATAATTGAGGGGCTGGTCCCAAACCTGCACACAGAAATAACATCACATGAGACCAGAAGACATGGCAGGATGTGCAGAATACCCCCGTTGAAAAGCGGAGGTGCAACTGGTACTCTGAGAGAGAACTCTATCAACATCAGAGGCCCGAGACTGTTCAACACGCTTCCACTACACATAAGGGGCATAACTGGCCGACCCCTCACAGTGTTCAAGAGAGAACTGGATAAGGAGCTCCAAAGGATACCTGATCAACCAGGCTATGACTCATACGTCAGGCTGCGAGCAGCCGCGTCCAACAACCTGGTTGATCAGTCCAGCAACCAGGAGGCCTGGTCGAGGACCGGGCCGCGGGGTCGCTGAGCCCCGGAATCATCTCAAAGTAACATCAAGGTAACCCCCCCCCCCCCAGTTAACCAACCAAGACTACCAAGAACTAACCGTTACTGATTGTTCATTGTTACTGATTGTTCATTGTTACTGATTGTTCATTGTTACTGATTGTTCATTGTTACTGATTGTTCATTGTTACTGATTGTTCATTGTTACTGATTGTTCACCGTTACTGATCACCGTTACTGATTGTTCACCGTTACTGATTGTTCATTGTTACTGATTGTTCATTGTTACTGATTGTTCATTGTTACTGATTGTTCATTGTTACTGATTGTTCACCGTTACTGATTGTTCACCGTTACTGATTGTTCACCGTTACTGATTGTTCACCGTTACTGATTGTTCACCGTTACTGATTGTTCATTGTTACTGATTGTTCACCGTTACTGATCACCGTTACTGATTGTTCACCGTTACTGATTGTTCATTGTTACTGATTGTTCATTGTTACTGATTGTTCATTGTTACTGATTGTTCACCGTTACTGATTGTTCACCGTTACTGATTGTTCATTGTTACTGATTGTTCATTGTTACTGATTGTTCATTGTTACTGATTGTTCATTGTTACTGATTGTTCATTGTTACTGATTGTTCATTGTTACTGATTGTTCACCGTTACTGATTGTTCACCGTTACTGATCACCGTTACTGATTGTTCACCGTTACTGATTGTTCACCGTTACTGATTGTTCACCGTTACTGATTGTTCATTGTTACTGATTGTTCACCGTTACTGATCACCGTTACTGATTGTTCACCGTTACTGATTGTTCATTGTTACTGATTGTTCATTGTTACTGATTGTTCATTGTTACTGATTGTTCATTGTTACTGATTGTTCATTGTTACTGATTGTTCATTGTTACTGATTGTTCACCGTTACTGATTGTTCATTGTTACTGATTGTTCATTGTTACTGATTGTTCATTGTTACTGATTGTTCACCGTTACTGATTGTTCACCGTTACTGATTGTTCATTGTTACTGATTGTTCATTGTTACTGATTGTTCATTGTTACTGATTGTTCATTGTTACTGATTGTTCATTGTTACTGATTGTTCACCGTTACTGATTGTTCACCGTTACTGATTGTTCACCGTTACTGATTGTTCACCGTTACTGATTGTTCATTGTTACTGATTGTTCATTGTTACTGATTGTTCATTGTTACTGATTGTTCACCGTTACTGATTGTTCACCGTTACTGATTATTCACCGTTACTGATTGTTCACCGTTACTGATTGTTCATTGTTACTGATTGTTCATTGTTACTGATTGTTCATTATTACTGATTGTTCATTGTTACTGATTGTTCACCGTTACTGATTGTTCACCGTTACTGATTGTTCACCGTTACTGATTGTTCACCGTTACTGATTGTTCACCGTTACTGATTGTTCATTGTTACTGATTGTTCACCGTTACTGATCACCGTTACTGATTGTTCACCGTTACTGATTGTTCATTGTTACTGATTGTTCATTGTTACTGATTGTTCATTGTTACTGATTGTTCATTGTTACTGATTGTTCATTGTTACTGATTGTTCATTGTTACTGATTGTTCACCGTTACTGATTGTTCATTGTTACTGATTGTTCATTGTTACTGATTGTTCATTGTTACTGATTGTTCATTGTTACTGATTGTTCACCGTTACTGATTGTTCACCGTTACTGATTGTTCACCGTTACTGATTGTTCACCGTTACTGATTGTTCACCGTTACTGATTGTTCATTGTTACTAATTGATTATTCTTACTAACTGTTCACTGTTTTTATTGTTCACTGTTACTAACTGTTGACACGTTACGCGCGTAAGACCTCACTTGTTGGTGTTCACTCAATACGCTGGTATACATGTCTGTCCTTGAGTGTGTACTAGTCTCCAGTAGCAGCTTCCTCCGCATCATCTCCTCTCCTCCCAGTACCAGTTGGTGGTGGATTATGTTATATGTGTTAAGGTTGTGGGACTGGAGACGTGAGCCTCGTGGTAGTGGCCTCTGGGGGGGTGTACTGGGGTTCAAGTAACATTTATTTTTGAACACTGGAATAATGCCTTGTATATAAATGGTGATTATTTTATTGTGTGTTTATAAATTTGTCTTATTTCTAGTAATATATAGTGTGAGCGATTATGGTGTGCTGCCCCCACCTTCCCTGCTTCCCTCCCCCCTTTTCCAGCTACCCCACCTCCCCCGCTTCCCTCCCCCCCCCCGTTACACTAAGCACTAACTTGGTGGTGTTACTAACCTGTTGTGTTTTGTCTCCCCCACAGATACCAGTCCTCGTGAGTACCGTGATGTTGGCTGGCCCGGGTAGGACCGCATGCTCGCTTCTCTCTCACCCTCTTGTCTACTGCTGTCTTCACTCCCTCTCTCCTCCTCCTCCTCCTCCCTCCTCTGCTTCCAACACTACCGTGGCACCCCCCCCCTACCCCCTACCTACCTACCTTCCTTCCTTAGTATGCATCCCTTCTCCCCCCCCCCCATCACCACCCACGCACACGCACCCCTTCCTTACAGTAGATCCCTTATTTCCCCTCTCACCTCCCTCCCCCTCTCTCTCCCTCTCCCTCACTCTCTCTCTTCCCCCTCACACTCTCCCTCTCCTACCTTTCCCCCTTTCCCGTTACCCCTTCCTTCCCCGCCCCCCTTGCCTGCTGAGGGCTTCTAACAGCGTTAGAATATTGGAGTGTGAATATTAAGGTTGTATTAGAGCGACTACCATCCTGGCTTCTACCTCATTAGTGTCATTAAGGAAATCCTCTTAGCAACCTTTCTGGGAGTCCTTGTAGACACGGGTGTACCGTCTCAACACTTGTCTCCTTATTACGCTCCAAGTGCCCCTTCACTATTCACACTTGAGTGCTTATATAGTAGTGACGTTTACCACCAGCAACAGCTTAATTAATCACATTGTTGCAACCTGGCTTGGTGGAGGAGCTACACACAAGCAGGCGAGACCGGCCTAGGGGCTTGTAGAGGCTCTTGTTAGTCTTAGGGAAGTTTAGGTTAGGTTAGGTTAGGGGTTAGGTTAGGTTAGGGGTTAGGTTAGGGGTTAGGTTAGGGGTTAGGTTAGGGGTTAGGTTAGGTTAGGTTAGGGGTTAGGTTAGGTTAGGTTAGGTTAGGTTAGGGGTTAGGTTAGGTTAGGTTAGGTTAGGGGTTAGGTTAGGGGTTAGGTTAGGGGTTAGGTTAGGTTAGGTTAGGTTAGGGGTTAGGTTAGGGGTTAGGTTAGGTTAGGGGTTAGGTTAGGTTAGGTTAGGGGTTAGGTTAGGTTAGGTTAGGGGTTAGGTTAGGTTAGGGGTTAGGTTAGGTTAGGTTAGGGGTTAGGTTAGGTTAGGTTAGGGGTTAGGTTAGGTTAGGTTAGGTTAGGGGTTAGGTTAGGTTACGGGTTAGGTTAGGTTAGCTTAGGTTAGGGGTTTAGTCTTGGTTAGGTTAGATTACAGGTTAGGTTAAGTTAGGGGTTTAGTCTTGTTTACTTGTAATGTTTGCGTCTCCACATTTGATTATATCCTAAACACTGACGTGTTGTTGGCAAGATTTAAGCATTAGGAACCGACCGCCTTCATCAATGTCTTCATTAACGGCGGGACGTGTTCATATTGTATTTTATACAGATGTTGAACCGTTTGTTCAACCTTGATATAAAATGCGTGTTAAAAATGTGTTGTGGGGGCTCTAGCACAAACAACAACACACAACTCAAATATTATTACAATATTAATACTATGATGAGATGCAACAGTTGAGGAATTCACTGAGCAGATGCACAAAATAGAGAATATCCTTGATAACCTAGCAAACCCAGTACCAGATATCATCTTCCTTGGAGACTTCAATCTACCCAGTTTAAAATGGAAAATAGTAAACAATAATATTATAGCAGGAAATCAACCTGGAAATAACCAAAAACAGGTCAGAGAACTACTGAGATTGTGACAAATTCTCGCTCAGTCAGCAGATTATAGAACCAACTAGGAACGAAAACACGCTGGACCTGATATTCACGAACAATGATGAGCTAATCAGAGACATTACTGTCTCAGACACTACGTACTCGGACCACAAGCTCATTGAAGGGCAAACTAACATTATATATGGTAGTAGGCCCAAGAGAAACAACAAGCGAGAAGGGTTATTCAATAAATTCAATTTTAATAATAAGAGGATAGACTGGGAGAAAATAAACAGGGAACTTGCAAACATTCAATGGGAAAATGTTCTAACTAATAAAATCCTACACAAGGAATAGAAAAACTGACGTCTGAAGCATATGAAGTCTGTCTGAAACATATTCCTTTGAGGTAAGCCAGAAAGAGGTCCAATGTAGAAAGAGAACGCAGACACTATAAAAGAAGGAAATATATAACGGAAATGCTTAAGCAGACACGACTCTCCATACAAAGAAGAAATAATTTAAACAGGGAGATTGAAGAAATCGAACAGAGACTGAAGCATTCCTATCAGACCGAAGAAAAGCAACTAGAACAGAAAGCAATTCAAGAAATAAAGAAAAACTCAAAATATTTCTTGACATACGGTAAATCAAAAGCAAAAACCACTGCCAGTATTGGACCTATTCGTACTAGTGAAGGTTCATGCATGGAGGATGACAAAGAAATTAGTGAAATCTTAAAAAAGCAGTATGAGGACATGTTTAGCACCCCGATACTCAGCATGAAAGTGGAAAATCCGGACTTCTTCTTTATGCGTGATATCCAAACACCTGTAAATATCACTGATATCAACACGAGCGTGGCAGATTTTGAAAGAGAAATTGAGAATATGCCCATGCACTCAGCCCCAGGTCCAGACTCATGGAAGTCAATATGCATAAAGAAATGCAACGTGCCAGTAGCACAGGCACTCAGTATAGTGTGGAGGAAGAGCTTGGACACGGGGGAGATACCAGAAGCGCTTAAAGCAACAGACATAGCCCCTCTACACAAGGGAGGGAGCAAAGCATTGGCAAAGAATTATAGACCAGTTGCACTAACGTCCCACAGAATAAAAGTATTTGAGAGAGTGATCAGGAGTCAGGTCACTAGTTTCATGGAGACCAATGACCTCCACAATCCAGGCCAACATGGATTTAGAGCGGCAAGATCATGCCTCTCACAGCTACTTGACCATTATGACAAAATCACTGAGGCATTAGAAGAAAAACAGAATGCAGATGTGGTATACACTGACTTCATGGTCACATTTATCGAATGCCTTTACGAAGTGATAGCACACAAAATGAGGTCAATGGGAATAACTGGCAAAGTAGAACACTGGATACTCGATTTCCTGTTGAACAGAACACAGAGTAACAGTCAATCACATCAAATAGAGTTCACGCGCAGTTAAAAACTCTGCACCTCAGGGTACAGTCCTAGCACCACTGCTGTTCCTTATTCTCATGTCTGATATAGACAAAAATACAAGTCACAGCTTTGTGTCATCTTTTGCAGATGACACAAAAATCAGCATGAAAATTACCTCGGCTGAAAACATTGAACAACTTCAAGCAGATATTAATAAAGTTTTCGACTGGACAGAAGAATATGATATGACGCTTAACTGTGATAAATTCCAGGTACACAGATACGGCAAAAATGATGACCTTAAACATAATACAGGGTACAAAACACAATTAGATTTGCCCATAGTAGGAAAGCAGCATGTAAAGGATTTGGGAATAATGATGTCCGACGACCTAACGTTTAGGGAGCATAACCAAGCAAATATTGCGTCAGCCAGAAAAATTATAGGATGGATTACGGGAACTTTTAAATCCAGGGATCCCATTACAAAGGTTGTACTCTTCAAGTCACTTGTGTTGTCCCGACTCGAGTACTGCTCAGTACTCACTTCCCCCTTCAGAGCAGGAGAGATTGCTGAAATAGAGGGAATACAGATATATACGGCATATACGGCACGCATAGACGCGATAAAACACCAAAATTATTGGGATCGTCTCAAAGCTCTCCAAATGTACTCACTAGAAAGGAGACGAGAGAGAGATACCAGGTAATATACACGTGGAAAATACTGGAGGGCCAGGTCCCATATCTACACAGTAAAATAACAACGTACTGGAGTGAACGATATGGAAGAAAATGCAGAATAGAACCAGTGAAGAGCAGGGATGCCATAGGCACAATCAGAGAACACTGTATAAACATCAGAGGTCCGCGGTTGTTCAACGTCCTCCCAGCGAGCATAAGAAATATTGCCGGAACAACTGTGGACATCTTCAAGAGGAAACTGGATTGTTTTCTACAACGAGTGCCGGACCAACCAGCCTGTGGTGGGTATGTGGGCCTGTGGGCCGCTCCAAGCAACAGCCTGGTGGACCAAACTCTAACAAGTCAAGCCTGGCCTCGGGCCGGGCTTGGGGAGTAGAAGAACTCCCAGAACCCCATCAAGCAGGTATCACGCAGAGCCACAGCTGGAGTGTGACACCGTCCAGAGCCACAGCAACAGTGTGACACCGTCCAGTGCCACAGCAACAGTGTGACACCGTCCAGTGCCACAGCAACAGTGTGACACCGTCCAGTGCCACAGCAACAGTGTGACACCGTCCAGTGCCACAGCAACAGTGTGACACCGTCCAGTGCCACAGCAACAGTGTGACACCGTCCAGTGCCACAGCAACAGTGTGACACCGTCCAGTGCCACAGCAACAGTGTGACACCGTCCAGTGCCACAGCAACAGTGTGACACCGTCCAGTGCCACAGCAACAGTGTGACACCGTCCAGTGCCACAGCAACAGTGTGACACCGTCCAGTGCCACAGCAACAGTGTGACACCGTCCAGTGCCACAGCAACAGTGTGACACCGTCCAGTGCCACAGCAACAGTGTGACAGTCCAGTGCCACAGCAACAGTGTGACACCGTCCAGTGCCACAGCAACAGTGTGACAGTCCAGTGCCACAGCAACAGTGTGACACCGTCCAGTGCCACAGCAACAGTGTGACACCGTCCAGACACCGTCCAGTGCCACAGCAACAGTGTGACACCGTCCAGTGCCACAGGAACAGTGTGACACCGTCCAGTGCCACAGCAACAGTGTGACACCGTCCAGTGCCACAGCAACAGTGTGACACCGTCCAGTGCCACAGCAACAGTGTGACACCGTCCAGTGCCACAGCAACAGTGTGACACCGTCCAGTGCCACAACAACAGTGTGACACCGTCCAGTGCCACAGCAACAGTGTGACACCGTCCAGTGTCACAGCAACAGTGTGACACCGTCCAGTGCCACAGCAACAGTGTGGCACCGTCCAGTGCCACAGCAAC